ACTCTTGTGCAAATTTTTCTGTTTGTTAGAAATTTACAGCTAGAAGCAATTTATTCAGCACCGAGTAGCAATGGTATGTGGTATGAGATAGTACCGCGTACCGCGCAAGGGATCGTAAGGTATAATGAGATCTGGTATCGTTTCTCAACCCGTATAATAGGGGTAAGTACGCCAGTTGTTGCTTACAATTAATTGGCGATGGAGATTTTTCCGGTGCAGAGGTTACCAGACCATAAGCGTGTTCGTGATCGTGATCGACTGAAAGCGCAGAATCAACGAGGCACTCTCCAGCTTCCAGTTGATGCAGGATGGCTGGATTGGCGTTGGCTTCTTTATCCCTTAAGTTGAATTTCATGAAATGGCATTATAAACCCACTTTGTACGGTCCGCGTGATAGCAATAGAAAATCCAGCTCATGAAGCATAGAACCACGACGAAGACTGTCCCACAAATCAGTTTTGCTAACGCTAGTTTAATTATTCAAAGAATATATGATACCTGGTACGTTGGAGGGAAAAAAAAAAAAAAAAAAAAAAAAAAAAAAAAAAAAAAAAAAAATTTAAAAAAAAAAAAAAAAAAAAAAAAAAAAAAAAAATATGGCGTCATCGAAGACGGTTATCTCGCTAAATCAGAGCTTTTATTTAACTTTTCAATGATACCTTTCCGATCCCCAAATCGTGATGCAAATCATAGTGGTGACGGTCAACAATAGGGAACATGCCTAGAATCAAGCTATAAAGACATCGATAATTTTTTTACAGAATTGGTGAATGGCCACGGAAAATTAGAGAACAAAACCTACCCAAAAACCCATAAGCCCGTCGATCCACTGTAATTTCTTCGCTTCAACAATCGCCATACTTCCAAAAAATATTCCTAGGATGCCGCTCAGTATCTGCCAAGTCTGAAAATTATGTTTAAAGGTCAGAAGCAGCGCGGTCAGAGATACCTGTATAAACACTAGAAGCGCTGAAGGTTTGGATTCTGGGTCCATGATGAAGTGGAGCACCCAATACAGGCTGGCTACGGTATAGAGTACCCAGAGGAGCATTGACACTTTGAATAGGGCCTGCAATTAAAATAAAGCTGGTTTGAAGGCAAAAAATATATTTTTGTACAACTATACCTTTATGTTTACAGGCTTGTGTTTCGATTCCATGGCAAGTTGCTGACCATGGGGCTCCGATTCAGCCGGCATGATAAAACCTGTAGGACGATCATGTTTCTTGGAAAAAATTGGCCAGGAGACAAGAAATCGTTTGGCTCCCAAAAGAAAATCATCTGAAGAGCGCAAGCCTTTGATTTCAGCAGTGACAGATTAATGACAACAGGATATGAATATGAGTCATAATTTCTGAAATGCCATTTATTGGCATTTTGCAATTCAAGGAAAGCAAATTATTGAAGCAGCGATGGAGTTCGGAAAGTACAGAAACAAAACTTAGGCCCAAATGAAATTTACGAGCGTATCTATCAACCAAAAATATTAAAATAGTTTTAAAAAAGGGCTAACGGCTTCAGAACTAGCCTGAAAAATGGTGTAGGATTACAGTTGCAAATCGTTACTATATCAATTTCCAGACGATTGCGAAATCTGGGAAGGTAGCTGACGATAAGAACACCAAGCGGAAGCGTTGATTTATACGGGTTAGACAAAGCTCCGCCCAATACTTTCGTAAGAGTTCTGGAATATGAATCAGTGAGGCGGCAAAAGACGCTCTAGGCGGGCTTTATCGCAAGTGATGCAAAAAGATAGACCATAGCTTGTACAAGCCATTGAATCAGCCAAATGGACGCGCTCGAAATTATACGAAACGATAACTCGGCCATCTCGCAAAAGCTTGAAAATGGCGAATATCTTGTAAAATCGCGACGTAACGATGAACGTAATAAGTGTAAAATTAACGGCGTATGTTTTTTTCTGCGGTATTTTTTGTGTGTAAAACGATTAACAGCGAAGGGAATATTTAAATTGGGAAAACAATAATCACTGGGCAACACTAGCTTTTCACAAGCTATTCCAGGCTTGTTTTATTTTTTGTAGTACGATATAAACCATAAATTTGGGGAAAGCTTGGGGGAAAGCCCGTGGCTTTTTTTTGCTTGCTTAACGCCATATGTTGGTTTATGCACGATCCATTATCACTTGATGTTGATGACAGCCTTACGAAAAAAATTTTATATTGTATATTTGCATTGGATCCGCAATATCAAAAATATTTTTATTGCGATCGATGCAAGCAGGCACATAATGGCGAGAAGCCAATAATCTGAGCGATTCGATTTAAAGGTATCATCCAATGTTTTGGTGAATATTTCTTGAAATACGAATCAATAAATTTACAAATAGTTTCAGCGAAAATGGTCAAATCCTGAGCCGCGCTGCGTTTATTTGTAGGTCTGGATTGACTGCATTTGGTCATGTTGCTGCTCCAGTTGCAGTTGACAATCACTAAATTCAGAAAATATTAGCAAAATAGCTTATCAAAATGTTTCATTCTTCTACAACAGCCACAAAAAGTGAACGTCAACCCCTCACCGGATATAATGGTAGTAAGAAACAAAGTGCAGCGACATGAAGGTGTGATAGAAGGCCAGAATTATACCCGAGACGAGCAGCACTGAAATAGACCAGTCTAAGCCAAAACTGACTTCAATTACAAGGTTATTTTACATTAAATTTAATTTGTGGACCCAGCCGCGTAAACTCGAATTAAGAATCGCTTTTAAATTGTAGACCCACCTGGCCAAGCATACCCGTCCTTCAGATGTCCAAGGTGATCCGGGAAAATTCTACCACTCCTAGATTACTGTAGCTGCCATATTTAAAATTTTATTACCCCTTTCTCTCGTAGATGCAGATGTAGACGAGCAGCGCCGTGTGGATCACGGTTATTAGCGTCTAAAGCTTGACGTCAGGGAAATTATCCAAAGAATGGCCCCCTTTAAAACGAACCCAAGCAATTAGGAAGAGCTGCATCCACGCCGGTTTCTGCGTCTGAATAGCACGTATTCCGAAAAAGGTGCCGATGATTGCGCAGAGGGAAGCCCAGAACTGAAAGAATAACAATGTGTTTTCCGTCTATTCAACGAAGCCACGATTTGAGGAAACTAATCCGTTGGAGCAACCCGCCATAAACAGAAAGGGCAAAATTGCTAGGACTAAACAGTGAGATTTTAATGCCACAAACGAGCATGCATTACGTTCGTAACTAGCGCTAACTGAAATGTTTTGCACATAGGTTAAAAAATGCCATTTTTGACCAACTCTATCTTGTGCATAATTTTTTGCGGTCCCGGCAGTTGGGGCTATAGCCATCATAGGGCGGGAAATATTTTCTGTCGCATGTGGCATCTCGCAAATCGATAGCTCAAAATTTGCCATTTTGAAAAATTTCCCAAGGCTGCATTTCAAAAGCCATGTGGTCCCGAAAAAACCTTTTTTAGTTCAACCATACGTCCAGGGTTCATGAGTGACCCTTACGAAAGTGCTTGGGACGAGGTACTCAGGGACAGGACCGAAGCCAGCCATTTCCGGCCGGTTTCGAGAAAAATACCACTAAAATGCTGAAACCGTGCTCGTACGAAAGTTGACAACAATATTGGGAAAGAACCCAAGTTTTGCACAAAATAACCTAACCACGAGTGGAGTTTCCTGATACTCCAAGAACACTGTAAGTAAAAGTTACACTTACCTCAAGCCTCGTCACGATATTTGCATAATCGGCAGGGTGGATGGCGAGGACCGCAAATGTTAGGGCGGTGAGCATAAAGACGGTGTAGATGCTCCACAGTATTATCATAATAATGAAGCCGCACTGGAAATGTTCAGATGCCGAAAGATAACTCGTGAATACTAGCAGCAGCCGTTCCCAAAGGCCTTAGGTTTCGTTTTTCCCATTCAGAATGGCCACCGAGCACGATATATAATTTGCATCTAATGCGCTGATATATACTTCATATTCTTTGAAAAAAAGAGCGAAACGAAACCTTTTTATCAATCACGAAATTCCGTGCTCACTTTTGAAGTGCAGCAAGTGCACCAGCATCCATAATTCCTTGCCTCAACCGGGGCCAGCGGATGGTGTGTCGACGCTTTCCACAACCAAGTCGGGAGTCCCAATATCGGGCTAAAATGCCAAAATAATTTCTACGTCTAGAGAATTTCTACAAAACGTACGGGTAGAACATGGCGGTGGTGGTGAGGCTCCGCAAATAATTTGCGAACGTCTCCAATGGAATAGTCGGCGCCATCAGGGGATAGCAGCAGAACCGAATTAACCGTTGAAAATTCGCATGCGCATGTCTGGAGTACGCACTTACTTTGTATTTCAAGTACCCGAAACGTGACTAAGCACCAGTTCAGCTGGCCTTTGTGGGGGGTTCGCACGGAGCACCAGGAAATGTGGTGTGGAGAGGTCGAAAGAAGCGATAGCTCCTTCCCTTCTGGGTCGCTGATGTATCTTTTCTATCCCTTACACACTCTCTCATAGACCCGCCCGCCCTCACTGCTCCGCCTATTGCTTTTTTTGGTGCCACTGGAAAATTGCCCAGGCCACCTCCCGCCCTCCCCACACGTCCATCCGGTCCAGACGGCAATACACGTTTTCGAAATAATCCGGATGTGGTAAGATGATGGCGGGAGAAAACAAATTGCAGACCCTGCAGGAATTTGGGAGATTTGGGAGTTTCGCTGGATTTTTCAACGAAAGCGTCATCCTGCCACCTCGAAATTTAGCCTAGCTATAACCATAATTCGAATTCCAAAATCTTGAAATTTACATAAGCTGAGCCAATTTAAAAATTCTCGGGGAATTACACGTTTAGGTGCTGCAGGAAAACTGCTCAAGATTGGAGATTACGAAAATCCAGATCCCAGAAAATTCGTTAGGAACATTTTAGTTCGTGATCTTCTGAGCTTAAGCGTCCTTTAAATTGATCATATCTATTACTTTATTGTCAATACGATTAAGCCCAGCCAGTGACATTTTTCATCCTTATCTATACGTTTGGATCGACTGCATCCTGCCCTGCTGCTGCTCCTGCTCCAGCTGGCGATCCCTAAGAATCAAAAATACAAATGAATTTAGATTTTAGATTTATAGTTTAGATTATAAATTGTAAGACCCGGTAATTATGAATAAAAATTACCGGATAAAATGGTAGTAAGAAATGAAGAGAAGGGTCATAAATACGTGATAGATTAAGAGCAAGATTCCGAAGGCGATCGTCACTGCAATAACTCGTTAACTTTACCAGTTACCGCACCTGGCCAAGGATATCCCTGCTTAAGATGCCCCTTGCGATCCGGGAAATACCCGCCGGTCCTAAACCATATTCAGTTATCAAGCAAAGAGTTGTTAAATTACCCCTTTGTCTCGTAGATGCAGATGTAAATGAAGAGCGCTGAGTGGATCAATGTAATCAGCGCCTAAAACTAATGTTTCGAGCAAAGTGTAGAAGGAAAACACCCAAACATACCCAAGCGATCAGGAAGAGTTGCATCCAAGCCGGTTTTTGCGTCTGAAGTGCACGGATACCAAAAATGGTGCCGACGAAAGCACAGAGAGAAGCCCAGAACTAAAATGAACACGGATTTTTATAGAAATCCGTCTTGCCGATCTTCCTTTTTTGAAGAGATAAACCGAATTTGGCGCTACTATATCTCGCTCACTGTATTCAATTAAAAAAAATCGAACCTCGAAATTCAAATGAAATTTAATTAGCCGATTTCTACCTCAAACTTAAACACAAATTTAGGGTATTCGGACGACGGGACGGCCAGGAAGGCGATGATCAACACGCCCAGCATAAAGATTGTGTAGATCGCCCACAAGATCATCATCAAGAGAAAGCCGCACTGGAAAGGGGGTATTTGGATGGTAGTTTAAGCCGCTTAATCGCAGGCTTTCTTCCCGGTTTTTGAGGTCTAGAAGGACTTATGAGTTGATCTCGGTCCTGATAAAGGTAGATAAAGAGGAAAGGATGTCATAGGTCTAACCCGTGCCCTTCGGAGAGTGTTGGATTTTTCGAAAATCAACATATATCCTTTTTATCCTTTCTAACGATTTTGCTAACAGTTCCTCACCTTAGAAGTGCAGCAAGTACAGCAGCATCCATAATTCCTAGCCTCAACAGGAGCCAGCGGATGGTGCGTCGACGCCTTCCATAACCACGTTGGAAGCCCAATCACTTTCCTGCATCAAAAACGAGTCTCGAAAATCGCCCGTTACAGCTAGAAACTACGAAAGTTCTTGTAAAAATTACGGATAGGACAGTTTGGTGGTGGTGAGACCGCGTAAATATGTAGCAAATGTTTCCGTTTCGGCCGGCATCAATCACGAAAGCGGTATAAAATGGCAAATCGATGCCGCAAACTCATGTCTGGGCTAATATTTGGGCATGTGCACAGGGCGGGCGTGACTAAAGGGGGGAGTTCGGCTGCCCTTTGTGGGGGTTCGCTGAGGGCAAGCGGGGAGGTCGAGAGAAACGATAGCTCGTTCTCTTCTGAGTCCCACATGTATCTTCTCTATCTCTAACACACGCTTTTCGCTGCTCAGGACTATTGCTTTTTGGTCGAGTGGGAAATGGCCGGGACGCTGCCTCTCCACACGTTCGTTCACCCAGCCAAAACGGCAACATGTTTTTGGAGCAGTTAAGATCTGACTGTAAAGTGTTTTTACTCAACCTGGAGTTTCGATTCGAGAACAAGGGCATTTTGTGAGTGTCAAATTTGGAATACGGATTTGGAACCAGCGAAAATTCGAATTTTAAAACATGGAGATTCCCCCTCAATATAAGCCTTCCGTTCCGGTTAAAACGGTTTTGAAAAACTGTATAAACTTTCTAAAACTTGTTTTGTTTCAAAATTGTTTTTAAAATCAAAATAAATGCGGCGAGGAACGACAAGATTCCAGTGTTTAAATTAAAAATCCAGTTTATTTCGACTGAAAAAATAGACAAAGTGGTGGGCAGGGAATCGAATTTTGTGAGGGATACATTGTCCCGTAATTGCTTGATGCACAGACAAAAAAAAAGCAAAATACGAGGCAAGCATTCGACAACTGATAGAAAGTAAACAAGAAAATAAAAGTTTAAGTAGTATAATCAAAGGCTTCAATACATTGCTTGCTTATTTGTAGGCTTGAACGGACTGCATTCTGCCTTGCTGCTGCTCCAGCTCCAGTTGACGATCGCTAAATGAGGGATAGTGAAAAAGACGGCAAAGCTTCTTCTTCTACGACGCAAAAGCTACTAACAAAACTCACCGGATATAATGATAGTAGGAGACGAAGAGGAGCGTCATGAAAATGTGGTAGATTGCCAGGAATAGTCCGAATACGATCATCACTGCAAGCAAGGTAAAATTAATAGTATTCGAAGAAAATTCGAAGAAATCCTTCACTGATCCTACCCTTGCGATCGATGAAAATACGGCCCTCTCTAAATGACGATATTTTTTTTGAATAGGCACCAAAGTTACGCTTTAGTCTCATAGATGCAAATGTAGGTGAAGAGTCCGAAGTGGATCAGCGTCATGGTCGTCTAGACTTTGGATAGAAGTACTGACAAAGATACAAAGATACCCAAGAAATCAGGAAAAGTTGCATCCAGGCTGGCTTCTGTGTCTGTATGGCACGAATTCCAAAAAAGGTGCCGACGATCGCGCAGATGGCTGCCCAGAACTGGCGAGATTACCCTATTTTATGCCTTTTTGAAAGCGGCACCTGGGGAAAGGTGAAGATCTTCGGGTACTCCTTTGGTGGGATGGCCAAGAAGGCGATGGTCAAAAACCCGAGCATGAACACCGTGTAGATCGCCCACAGGACCATCATGAAGATGAACCCGCACTGGAAATGTAAGAGGTTCTCGATTTCTGCGTGAATTTGATCCTGAGTAAGATCCTGCTTTAATAGCCTATATTATTTTGAGGTAGCTGCATAAAGCGTATCCATTTAATGAATCGTTCTTGGTAAGTTTCCTGAGCTTATTCGAAAGTACCCCTGACTCGGTCTCACCTTAGAAGTGCAGCATGTACAGCAGCATCGATAGTTCCGGGCTTCGACCGGCGCCAACGGATGGTGCGTCGACGCCTTCCACAACCAAGTCGGAATTCCCATTATTTCCCCTAGAAATTAGTGAATTAGGAAAGAAACTAGGAATTAAGAGAGGAAGAAAAAAGAGAAGGAAAGAAAAGAGGAACACGCTCAATTACGGTTGCGGCAGCATTAACGGCGCTAAATTGCGCACTCGGAACTTTCGATAGAACTTTTGAACTGGAGGACGGTACGGAGAATGTGATCAGATCAGATATCACGCCAAGCCAGAAAAACTTCCGATTGGAGCATGCGAACACGGCAACACCTGATACAGCCGTAACTACGAACGCCGGGCGGAATCGGCCTTTGCCAGATCGACTGGCGGATCCAGGAAATGTGAGGCCCAGCGAGCAATTCCGCTTCCTTCTCGGTTCAACTGTTGCTACTCTCGCGCCTCTATCCTCTACGCTCTATCCAAAACGCTCCTCCCTCCACTGTAAGGCCTCTTTCTGCTGTCAGCAAAAAAAATGCCCACCCCCAGTCCTCTGTTCCCCACCCGCCCTATCGAGGCGGAGCGGTTTTTGGCCGATCCCGGGTTCCAATGAGGAAGTGGATTTGAGTTCAGATAAGAAAATCAATTTACCTTATCGCAGACTATTTAGAGGTGTTTGGAAGATATTTGGAACTGTTGGAAGGCATGTGAGGCAGAGAGGAAATAACCAGCGAAGTTTCAGGTCTTCGGTAGTTTGTAAGCTTGTTGATCGTATTTGAAAATTCACAGCTGGAAGTTCGGAATCCAGACATGGTGGAGTCCTGGCGACGACCAGCATCCAAGAGCGGGACAGTGGCTTCAAAATGGTATTTTTAAGCTACTCTATTCGCGCACCCGAAAACAATGTTACAATACCGATTGCAAATTGACCATGACAAACACAAGTATTGAGTGAGCTCTCCTAGGTATATCGATACCAGAGCAAACTGAAATCACCTAAAAACGACTCCTTGTTAGATGCTATACTCTACCGTTGCATACATATAATAAAAATTTCTTCTAACACTTTTTGGGTACCGCCATCGAGGCGCAATTAGGCTGGATAGCAAAGCTTCTGCAGTTAATCTAAGGATCTCATGAAACAGGGGATCCAAGTTCATTGCAACCATACACCAGTGAAACGCGCGGCGAGTTTGTTAGCTTTTGGGTAGCACCAAACAACAACACCAGGGTCAGCACTAGGAAAAAGAGGGCCGCATGACACACACCGCCAGAGCCAATACCGATGTCTCACCCGTCTTTTTGAGTCTGGCGTTTATCTTTGGGTTCCTCGGAATCTCCTTCGGTATCACAGTCTCTCTTCTTCTTCTGACGGTCTCGAAATTCTGGCGCCGGCGGGCCAGGCCGCACTTGCTTCTCCTGTCACGCCCGAGATTTTGGGTCGGCGCTTCGATTTATTCGGTGATTTTGAATTGATAGCTTCAGAAGCTTCAAATCTGGAGCTTAAGAAGCTTAAGCAGCGTCGAATTCAAATCTTATCTAGAATAGCTTATTCCTTGAAATATGGTCTCGTCTTTTTTAAGGCTGATACAACTGAATTTTTGGAGCATTTTCGAAATTTTTCGCCCTTGAAAATGGCCTACTCCTGAACGGTTTGAAGATGTATAACTAATCGATCGAATTCTCAATTTTGGCCAATTTACCATAGAATAACCCATGAATCATGGATTATGCGACTGATAAGCTCGGTGAAATAGGTGACGATTCCGTCTGAGTCATCGAAAACTTGGCACACCACCTTCCGCTCAAGCCCCTTATCGCGTTTTTTTGGGTTCAGAAGAACAACACCATTCTTGCCTGCATTGTCTCGTTTTCGATTTTTGACGTTTCGTGAGCTGCAAAACAAAATTTACCTTGATTTTAGCGAAAATGGAATTTCCGGTTTGGTTGTGGCGCCCTAATGTGCAGCCAGAATCCCCGGTGAAGGCGGACGACTATAAGTGTTGCTATTTTTGCGGTTGCTCATCAAAGGTAAGAGCTTCTTGCTTCATAAGATTTGTAATTGAAATGTTCGTTTCTTTCCATCTTCCGACGTTTAGTGCTGGTTCACGCTATGCACGGCGTTCTGGATCCTCGCTTCTATCATTTTCATTGCTTCCGCCATTTTTGTCTTCCTCGTCCGACCCGATGTCACGGTGATTGCCCTAAGACAACCAGGGGTATGTTAAAAATCTACCGGTAAAATTCAAGATTTTGTATTAAGCTTTACCTTCGTCTGGCAGTCATTGTCTTGGGCTTCCTTGCCGTCCGAGCCATTATGACAAAGAAACCCGGCTACATGCAGGCCTTTATCATCGTTTTTGTAAGTTATTCGACCGTTTTTCAGTTCTCTAAGCTCCCTGAAATTGTCCTATTTTTCAGGCTTCCCTCCAAGCTTTGACACTCCTTGCAGAAATCTTTTTTGGGCATCACCGTGATCAGTATGCAAAAGCATTTTTGCGAAAAACCGAGCTCCAGGGTCCACCACCATCTCAACTCTCACTTCCGTGGCTACCGACATCACCACCGTCACGATGATTACATAGGCTACAACAATCAGGGAATGGGCTACGACGATCATGGCAGGGGATACAACTATGAGGGCCGAGGGTACCGCGATGATACCGTGGGATACAATGATGGTGCCATGGGGTACCACAATGATCACATCGGCATCTGGGGTACGTACAACATTGTTAGATGCGAACTGACCAGCAAATTTTTAGAGATTACCGAACGAATTCCGGGGCTGATTATTGGCGCAATAGTGGCAATCTGGATGAACGTTGTCGTCTATATGTACTACTCCTATATCAGGCATGGGGTTTAACGTTTAAAACCAATTGTAGATGTAGATCCAGAACCACAAAACTTATGTAAATTACCAGTGCTTTTTAAAAACTCCCGCGTGATCGCCTGCTCCGACATCGAATTTTTTAGGGATCGCCAGCTCGAGGTCGAACAGCAAGAGTATCCACCAAGCCATCGTCAAGCCTGCATAGTTTGATTCTCGCAACGACAATCCATCACGAAACGATACTCTTTTCAGGAAATCTCTAAGATTTTTTAGTCACGTTTCCTGTATCGTATCCATCAGATTTATAAGCATATTCTGGTCCTCAGGAACATATCTAATTTAATAAAGAACCTTACTTTATGCTTTTTTGTTGCTCTAGACTTTTTTATGCGATGTACAACTCGACGAACCAAGCCTAGGCCTCGAAATGGCCTTTCGGCGAACCGGGAAATGGATCACATGCGTCCGAATGCCAGCAATCTACCCGTTCCCCCATTCGGCGTCTTTCTCTCTCTCTCTCTCTCTCTCTCTCTCTCTCTCTCGCTCCAGCACTTGGGTTTTTTTGGCCGACAAAAAATGACTCGGCCGCCCTCCCCCTTTTCTCGTTCTCTGGTGCTGCTGCAACATTTATTTTCCGTGCCCTCGGTCCCCAGGCGGAAATAGAAAACGAGGACATTTTTGGAGGGCTACTGGAGAATTTTCGCGACGGAATTTATTCAATCAAGGACGGTTTTACCCCCCCACCCTTTCGGTTTCGCTCCGATTCATGACCACATCGCAACCGGTTTCCAAATCTTTTTTACCGGAATACCAGTAATCTTGCTAATCGGTTGGAATTTTAGCTTTACAAGAGCTGCTAAAAATTCTGATTTTCGAACAAAACAGTGAAAGGTTTTCTCAAGTTTCTCCGAAGCCGGGCACTTCTTATTGCGGCAGTTCGACTTCAGAGAGTCCGACTTCAGGGAGGACGCATTCAGGGAGGAGAAGCTCTTGGATCGCACCAGTTAACAAAACCCAGGCTGTTTTCTAGCTTTTTCTGTCCCCTCCAAGTACAGCGCATCGATCCCGGGCTCCTCTTCTTGATACCCGCTCCAAAAAAACGGCCAGGAGCAACCAGCGAGACCCGCCCTTTTTGGCATCCAGAAGTTGCCATTGCCCGCGTTTCGCAGTTTCTGCAAGACTCCCAATTTCTTGAGCTTTGGCCTAGTAAAATTGGCCGTCTTTTGAATGAATTTTCATGAAAACGGGTCTCGATGGTCGATGGATGCTAGGCCCATAAAAAGCGGCCTTCTGCTTTTTGGGGATCGAAAAGGGGAACGGATGAATAGATGGCATTGGCCCAACGCCCGAACCCTGCTCTTTCACATGTTCTCTCTCTCTCTCTCTCTCTCTCGCTCTCTCTCTCTGCTACTGCGCTCCTTGTCCGAACGCTAAATTAAGCCCCTGCACTATGCTAGTAGCGCGCCTTTCAGGGTTTGTTCTGCTGTGTCAAATTTTCGATGGCTTGAGTTGTCCAGGTTGGGTGATTTTTGAGATGGCGCAAATACCTTTCGAATTTCTACTTCTTGTCAACTTGTTGCAACACATACTTTAAGGATGGGTTTCCCCCGTTTGGCTATGGCGTCCTAAAGTTCAGCCGAAATCGCCGGTGGAGCCAGGAAATTATCTTTGTTGTGGATGTTGCTGCTGTACCGCGAAGGTAGGTTTTGAGGCAGAGAATTCAGTGAGAGAGAGAGAGAGAGAGACAGACGGCTATTGAGAGAAATATTCTTCCTTTTTAGTGCTGCTTCAGCTTTGACACGATCATCTGAGTGATCTCCGCGGCCTTGTTCTGTCTCATCGTTGGAATCTCGCTCATCATTAAGCCCCTACTCCTATGGCGCTATCTCCAGAATGCACAGGTTAGCCGAAGAAACCATAGCGCCAAATTAGCCTACCCGTTTTTTTTGGTAAATTGTCATTTACAGTTTTTCATATGGGGTGCCACCGTGTTATACGCGTGGCTGGGAATTCGCACCATCCAAACGAAGCAGCCGGCCTATCTGCAGTTGCTGATGGTCGTTCTCGTAAGGGTTTTTGCAGTGTCTGAGTGCTAACATGGAAGGTGTTTTGGACCCATGTTGCAAATCGCTATATAACATACATCAATCGATAGAGAATGGAAAATAAAAGTGATGTTTAAATATTAGTTTTTGCCGAACTCCTCTCTTTAAAAAGTTGTTAGGTTTTTCCAACGTTTCTGAAACCTATTTTCTACAAATCGAGCTTGTTCGTTTGCCATTTTACATTGGATTTAATTTAAATCATTTAAATAGCTTATCTGATAGAGAATTTTTTCTGATTCGAATGGTATGTTTGTTGGTGCTAGGTCGCCTCTTTAAACGCCTTGCAGGAATCTGGAATAGCATGAAAATGACCAAGTTTACATAGAGAAATTTTTGGCATTTTTTTTCGAAATTTCCGAATTTCCAATTTTTTAGTTAGATAGCTGATTCGATAGAACAAAAAATTCTGAATACTCGTTTAACTTCAAAATGAGGAATTTTGGCAAAAAGTCACCGTAAAATTCAAATAATTTTTTAAACAAGGGCGTTCCGCAAAAGGAATATTTAAGCCTCACATTGTTTCAATTCGCTATCGATTGATGTATGTTACATCGCGATTCGCCACCTGGGTCAAAAACACTCCGCTTGTCAGTATTTGGTTATCGATAATCGAAAATCGCGGGAGTTTCGCGGAAGTACTAATTTAGCTAATATTTTTTGACGTGACCTTTTGAAAAAAATTTAGCTGATATTTTTAGTTTGGCACCGAAATACTCGGCCTGATTGCCAATTTGGTCTTCTGGGATCATCACATGGAATCGTAACAATTTTTCCAAGACGCTTAACGGTGATTTCAGCATGAACAGTCATCTCTCCGAATTCGGGCAGCAAAAAGCAGAACTTAAGCCAGGGGTCGATATCGATGGTAATCAACGCATATGCCCGCTTGTAGCTCTGATTTCTAGAGCTCATTTCCATTGTGCTAGCCGGCCTTATCATGCTCTGGGCCGACCTCGTCATCTTCCAGTTTTATCGATACATCAGGTAATTTGGAAATTGAAGGAGCTGCTTAAAAAACCATTTTTAGTCCTTAAATAAAAATAATTCTGAAATTTTTTTAGAGATCGTCAGATTGAAGAGGAGCAAAGCGGTCAGCTGCCCCTCCATAATCAACCGCTGAAGGCTTGAAGCCCCCCAAGAAGCCTCATCAAAACAACGACAAAAATCACAAGCTTATCTGCCTACTGTATGCCTTATATTTTAACTGTCTTTATATCGCTATTTTTGTCTTGCCTGCCCCCGGTTGTGATTTTTATCCGTTCTTACACCGCTTATTTCCAAGTGCAAATAAAACGCTGTTTGGAAAAATGTAGCAATGCCACCACCGGCCTACTAACTGAAAATGTCGTCGGGTATGACGTAGGCATGCTGCTGGTTTCTTCTTTGGCGTGGCCAACTGCCTGAGATGCGGCTTCTTAAAATAGACCCCGGGGGTTTCCGGGGGCCAGGCCAAAAATCCACGAGAAAGGGGCGCGGTTGGGCCAAGGCCCGCCGGCCCCTTTCTTCTCCTCTCCTTCCATCTCTCCCTCTCTCTCTCTCTCTCTCTCTCTCTCTCTCTCTCTCTCTCTCTCTTTCTCTCTCTCTGTCTCTCCATCTTTCTTGCTTGCCCGCCCTTTCTCACCCTGCACCCTCCATAGCCTCTTCTCCTAGATGCGCATAGTGAGCAGCATCGCGTGCTTCAGCGCCTCAAATTTGGTTTGGAAATGTTTTAAAGTTAAACTGTTAAAACTCCTAATCCAGGTAACCATGGGCTTTCCGATTTGGCTTTGGCGTCCCGAGCATCAGCCCCGGACCCCAGTCGAGCCAAATGGGTATCTCTGCTGTGGATGTTGCGGATGCACCTCAAAAGTAAGAAATTTAATCCTTTTGTCTGAAATTCAATCGAACAGTGTTGCTTCACGATTTATACGGTTATCTGGGCCCTGATCTGCTTCATTTTCTTTGGCCTTGTCGGTTTGCTGCTCCTTCTACAACCCGATTACATCCTTGTTCTGCTAAAGCATCCAGGAGTAGGTTTTTAAAGGTTCAAACTTTTGAAAATTTTGATAAAAATCGTATTAAATTCAGTTTTACCTCTGGCTTGTTACTGCTCTTTTTGTGTTCTATGCCGTGCGGGCGATACAGACGTTGACACCAAGCTACATGCAAGCGTTCATGATAATTTTTGTGAGTTTTTGCGAGTATCGAGGCTTATTTGACGGCCATTTTAGTACAAAAAATTTCTATATTTTTAGTTCACCCTGGAAATCATTGGCTTCATTTTAAGCTGGATTTTTTGGGAAGAACTCCAAGCGTAAGAATTTGATCATCTTAAATTTTCTGCCACCCTTTTTAGAATGAATCGCCGTCTTATGGAGTACAGCTCAAGAAAGGGCGGACATCTGCAGGAAATAGGGCGGGATTGTAAGCAAAGAGCGGTTACGGTTAAATTCGGTCCATTCAGCTAGCGTTTCCTCAATGTTCCCTTCAATGCTATTTACGCTTTGGATGGACTTTGTGGTGATCCAGTACTATCGCTACGTCAGGTAATATACTTTTCGAATAGCTGAGCGCAATGCGCTTCAACTTCTAGATCCCACTATTGATTTTTCAGGGATCGTCAGCTGGAGATTGAACAAAGCGAGCAGCTACCGCTGTACAGCCAAATGATGAAAACCTAACTTTCAGATCGATTTCAAAACTGAATTTTTTTTGCACATATTACAGGGTGTCCCAAACCCCCCCCTCTAGCGGTCCGTGGGAAGCTCAGATCAGGATGATTTTTATACCATTCGAAAGCCCGCGAAAAGGCGAGAAAACAAGCGGGCTTCATTTTCTAAGATTTATTCTGATTCGTCCGATATTCAGCGTTTTTCGAAAAAACAGGTATCTTTTCAATAGGAATTTCGCAATTAGCATGCGGATCTCGCGTAAATCAGCCGTTTTCATGGATTTTGGAGGTTAAATTCGCCAATAAAAATACATAATAAAAAAATGAACCCTCCATGTTTTCGCGCCTTTTCGAGAGCTTTCGATAGATACCTAAACGGCGAGAATCGGACACGTCTGGGCGCCGCTAGAGGGGGGTTTGGGACACCCTGTATTTGAGAAGTCCGATCATTACTTAATTCACGCGTGTCTCCTCTTGCCTGGACAGTATAGATACTTTCGATTTGATCTCTCGATTCTGATAAATTATAACTTTTTTTGCAAATCCCCCAACCCAAAAAACCATAAACCTGCATAAAACATAGAAAACGATAAAAATAGAATCCAAGTCGGTTTGAACGGAAACACATTACGAAGTAATATACGTCCATCCGGAAATCTCTCTGACACTCGCTCCCCTTTCTCCTCGCGCACATTTTTGGTGCTCTCATTTTGGGCCGTTCATCCCGAACCGCCGACCCACAATCACCATATCTTTTTAATCGATTCGATTGCCATGGGCTTCCCGATTTGGCTTTGGCGCCCAAACCATCACCCAAAAGCTGCCGTGGAACCAAATGGCTATCTATGCTGTGGATGTTGTGGCTGTACTTCAAAGGTATTCTTGTATATACGCACTCAGCTACAAAAGTGTATTCGATTAACCTAAATTCCAGTGCTGGTTTATCTTTTATACCGCCATATGGGCGTTGCTCTGCTTGCTGTTCGTTGGCCTGATTGGTCTCCTTTTCTTCAAACAGCCAGAAGTCATATTCGTCCTGCTAAAAGAACCAGGTGTCAGTTTTTTTTTATCGAACGTTCTTTAGTTAGTAATATCTACAGCACGGGAGACGAACAAAAACCGAGAAAACCCAAAAAAATAAAAAATTTAGACTTACGTCTGGATTGCCAACGGTCTCCTCGCAGCCTTTGCCGTTCTTACAATTCGTACAAAAAACCAAGCTACATGCAAGCGTTTATGATCGTTTTCGTGAGTGTTCAAGCTTGTTAAAATTCATGGTGGTGAAAAGAGTGGAAAATCAATTTAGGCTGCCATCCAAATCCTCGGCTTCATTTCCAGCTGGATCTTTTGGAAACAGATGCAATGGTGGGTATTTTTGCAAAATTGAACCCCCATTTTTTAGGATAAATGAGCGCTACAATCAATGGAGGAGAGCCCAGGGATTAGAGCACAAAGATATGATGCTGAGTTGTAAGTAGTGTCGGACAGCACCCCAAGAAACGCACCCCCAGGGGGTCTTTGAAACGCACCCGGGGTGCCTTTCAAACGCACCCCGGGTGCCTTTGAACGCACCCCGGGGTGCGTTTCGGGGTCCGTTTTGGGGTGTGGTTTGAGGTGCGTTTCGGCCCCAAAGGCGGCAAAGAATAGAAAGGAAAGCCGATAAATAAAAGTAAGTTGGGCATAGGAGTATTACAGATATGTTTTATATACCGAATTGATGCCATCCGACGGCTCCGCTTTCAGTAGTAAATTTGATAGGCTGTGTTGGAGTTTTAAATGATTTATGGTACGATTTTCATATTTTATCGGGGCTTCAAATGTTTTTGCTCATACTTTTGGCAAAAAGTATGGAAATTATTTACGGGATTTTCAAAAATCGAACAGATAACAATTAATAGGATGTAAATGGATAAGATATAAGGCAAGAATAGCATATTGAAGGGTTTTATATAGGTTCATAAGGTTTTATAAGGGTTTCTGCAATATTCCTAAGCCAAATATACTTTTATTTATCGGCCTTCCTTGCTTTTCGTTGCAACCTGTGGGGCCGAAACGCACCCCACACCACACCCCAAAACGCACCCCGAAACGCACCCCGGGGTGCGTTCAAAAGCACCCAGGGACACTATTAATGAATGCACCCCCGAGGGAGTGGGGTGCGTTTGAAGGGCACCCCGGGTGCGTTTCCAAGACCCCCTGTGATGCGTTTCAAAGGCACCCGGGGTGCGTTTCTTGGGCTGCTGTCCGACACTAGTGTCAGAGCAGACGATTTCAAATTCAACGAGCTTCAGCTAGCATCCCCTTTTATGTGTCATTTCTTTTTATGATCTGGATGAATTTTGTGGTCATTCAATATTATCGTTATGTCAGGTACTAGGATGACAATTTATATTACCAATGTTTGCCGTTTTTTAGAGATCGTCAGCTGGTAATTGAGCAATGCCGGCAGCGACTACCCATTTACAGGCAACCGCTGAAGGCCTAGCGCCAAGATACTTTCTAGGGTGAAAACGGGATTTGGAAATCTCGTTTTGCAAAAAAGCTGATAATTTTTGTGTTTTATCTTGGTGATCTGTGTTTATCTTGGTACTTAACGAAATTAAATAGATTTGGACTGTTACAAATTTTACGCGTCTACGGAATACGGAGCTTAAAAAACCAACGTGTCATTTTAAGATAGCCCGGAACCATATGGTCCCCTTTCCAAGCTACTGCCCTGGCCAGGTGCCCGAAAACCCGGAACACACTTTCCTCGCCTTGCCCTGTTCCTGCTTCCTCTCCAGCTTCTTGCCCTCATCTATCTCTACCTCACTCTCTCCTCTCGATCGCTGGCTGTTCCTGCTTGTAAATAAAAATCGGTCCAAACCCCGATCCCGAGCAACAAGCCCTTACCTCGAGCCCAAACGTTAGGACGTATCCCATCCTCTGGCGGGTTAAAGATCATTAGATTTTCGTAAGAAAATGGCCTTCCTTTGTTTAGTATTTAAAATTTTCGTGTCCTCTCTCTGTCGCTCTCTGTCGCTCTCTCTCTTGCTCTATCTCTCTCACGCTCTCACTCTCTCTCGCTCTCTCTCGCTCTCTCGTCCTTGGAAGATAAGAACTTTGATCACCGTGTTATTAATGGACCTCAAGGATAACAGTTAGTCAGCCAGAGTTTTTAAAATAGAGACTTTCCTATCATAAAGCGTTAGTGACCAAGTAGCAATCATGCTTACAAATCTCGCGCCAACAATTCTCATTCAGATAGTTTCATAAATATTAGGAACAGCAAAAATACCGGGAAGCCGCCGGATTTTGTTGTTATACCGTTGTTATTAAATAGACCGCGAAACGTAGTTTTTCTTGAAAACAACACGGACAGCATTGCAATAAATATATTTCATGGATTTCATTACCCCTGCCTTGCCTGGGGCAACACATGGCAGCTGGGTGAGCCAAAACCGGCTCTACTACCCCCTCCCTTCATATCCCCTTC